TGGACGGCCTGGTGTTGAAGGGCCCTGTCGGGGCTCCTGAGGTGGTTGATCCAGTCGTCCTCGGTGGCAGGGGACCCGAAGCTAGCGTTTAGCACGGGACACTGCCACAGCATGCGACTTAAATCGCACCTTGAATTTTGGCATTTGGAGCATTCTGGCATTAATTTGCTGCAGATATAGGGGCTGGGGTAGCTGTGCGTTTGCAGCAGTCGAAGCGTTAATTGTTGTGCTTTATTTAGTGCTGAGTGAGGTGAGGGGAATTCCTTTCTAAATAACTTATAGTGCGAGCAAATTTTGTGATATGATAGGAGTGGCTGCCGGTGCGTGTTGGTGTCCCCGGCCAGTGAGCCGGACCGCGACCCTCCGCGGCACGTAAGATCACGCGCGAGGCTATGGGCAAGCTCAGTACTGTTGGGGACCCCTGGTTGAACGTTGATTCCTTCATGACCTGGGAACCAGTGGATGTGCTTGTCTACAGTTATTTGAACAGATGCTAGAACTCTTAATGCCGCCTGGCAAAGTGTACCGCGGCGGTATGCCAGTGCAGCCGGTTTAGAGTCGGTAAATATTATGTCGCGCTGAGGGAGTGCTAGAGCAAGGGCAATGGCCACTTGTTCAGCCTCGCAGGCTTTCTGTGTTTTTACGGTAAGAACAGTAACAGCTGTTCCGTCTGGGGCGACCGCCAAAGCTGCAAAGTAGGGTTTGTCCAGGTATTTAGCGGCGTCTACGGAAACCACGTCTGTCGCGTGTAGGTTGGCCGCTTTTAGTAAGGCTTGAGCTCGTGCCCTTCTTCGAGTCTGATTGTGCACCGGGTGCATGTTCCTGGGGAAGGGTAGCACTGTGATTTTAGCGTGAAGGTGTTGCGGTAACGGTTCTGGTTCGTTGACTTGAGTTGGGATAGGAAGGGAATTTGTAAACTGTGCTTGAACTGCTCCAGAAGTGGCCACTTGGCACGCAGTGTCGTCCACCATAACTGCAGAAATTTTAAAGTGGCAGGAGAATTTTGATTCTTCCAGCCCACAACAGAGGGAAAATGAACAACTGGCGATGCCAATGCCCGCGAGCAGTCGCCAGTAATTCAGCAGGTGTCGCGTGCCCCAGAAGCGGGTACTTTTTTCGTTTCTGTCACCATCAACAGTCAAACGAATAAAGGCATCTTGGACTCTGGAGAAAGGTTGACGACGGCACCTGTAGTTGACAAACTTGATCAATGCATAAAGCCTCATCCCTACATTTGGTAGGAGCAAGCGACTATTTGCTGCAAAATTTAGCTCAAGTGAGCGTTGTGGTGACAGTGAACGATCAAACACTGTAGCATAACTTTGTAGTTTTCCCCCGTTATTTTACAAAAGAATATTGCCAGGCAATGACTTCTTGCGCGCTTAAAGAGCCGTCATTGACTGGAGTTCGGAGAGCTTCGCTTTATCGGTTCCCCAAAGGCTACACAAGGTCTGCCTAGTTAGCGAGCAATCACTGCTAGCTTTGTCGCGGAAGTTAGTTTATGTGGCCTGGCATCGCATGTTGGGAAATGAAAATGATTTAATGGTCACCACAGGGACAAAGCTATTGTACGACCGCAATAGTGGAGCCCATAGTAACAGACGCATCAGAACATACAACGAACGTTGTGATCATGGACTGTTCTTCTCAAGCCGTCGTGCTTTCATGTAAGCAGACAATTAGCCTAAATCAAGAAACAAGCAAAATTTAAAATATTGAATTTTCTGGAGACGATTGCTAACAGATCGCTAGTGTGCCAAGCAGGCGTTATACCACAGAGCCATGCATCTGATTGTGAATACAGTGAATATAACTTCCTGTGCTAGTAAATACAGTGAAAATAGCTCATGCTTTATGAACACACGCATCTTGCATACAAGCTTCACAATACACGATGCAATTTTGCAGTAATATTGCATGATACAAGACTACACTGTCATCGGGCATCGGAACATCATGACAAATTCTTGGTTTAAAGCCGGAAACCTATTACAAAAGGCACATACGTTTCTGCACGTGCTCCCTTAAGGCCACGTAGTGGGTGCATAGCCAGTTCAAAAACATTTCAGGCTCATAATTGCTCGTGGTTTAACGTATGCTACCCATTACACAAAATGCAGTCATATGTGAAAGCTTCACTGACATAAGCCACTTTAAACTTTTCATCGAATACATTGTCGTAAATCACAATTTAAACTTCTCGAGTAACATCACAAATTAAAAAGTATGCATTAAGCAGTTGAATTGCCCACCATAGTCAGGATATCCCTTTTCTTGAAAACTCTAAGAGGCGAAGCTTAAACACACACAAAAAAAACGAGATTATGGTGTCATGATACGTAATTTCATGCGGCGAACTCGAAAATCAAGTAGAAAATTTGCATAAACCAACGCAAATAACTTTATTTTGCCGAAAAGAAGCAATAGGCACCGCGGCCGCCATCGCAAGTCTTGCCGTCGCTGTGATTGGTCGAAGCTTTATGACGTCACTGTCAGGGAGGTGAGGACAGCTGACTGTGCTCGCTGGCAGTCAATGCCGTGTTTATCTGTTGAAATTGGGTAGTTGCTGTAAGTATGGGGAACTGTGAAAGTCGGACCGAGTTTACTGTACATTCGTACATATTCGAGCTGGTCGCCACTGTAAGGGTGACGACTGAAGCAGCACAGAAAAGCGAGTCCCAACCAGCCATCTTCATCCGCATCGAAAACATAGTCTAGCACGTATGAAATGCATGCCAGTGCTTAATTTCACTGTAGTTAAGTGTTACAAATGATACGCTTATCAGTGGATATCAAATTCGACAAATTCGATAAGAAAACGCAGCATCAGCACTCGCTTTTTCAGCAGGCGCGGGCAGCATGCAGAAACATCAGCTGTTCGTGAATTTCAGAGCTCAGATTGCAACATTGTTAATGCAGTCAGTATTGTACTTCGCACCTGGCAAGGCGCACGCAATGAGTCTATATGCTACCGTGAGAAAAAAAAAAAAAAAACGAAAGAGCCAGACGAGAGCCGCTGTTGCCACAGTGCTGATACGCGCTCTCAACTTCGCTGGAAATTGCACAAGAATAGTCTGGCTCATATATTGTACTGTTTTTTTTTATAATACCGTCACTTTTTCTTAGTTCTGCCCAGTAATACAGTGATGATGTGTTAAAATGCAAACGGTACATCATCTGCGCTAGAAGCATGCGACTGTCTTGTAGAATAGCTGATTTAGAATATGCGTACTGATATCTTTGTGCAGGTGTTTTCACCATATGTGCTCAGCATGCAATGCGTGCAAATGGGGATAGAGGAGAGGTGCTGTTACTGCCTCAAAATTCGGCAGATTCGCGACCGCCACAGAGCGCTTCATCTCGAAGGTATGAAATACGTAATTTCTTTTAACTACAGCCGCCCATGTTGCAGCCATCTTCTGATCCCAAGGAAACATGTGAAAAGCAACCTCATCGCGACCGTAAGTGCTGCGGCAGCCATAGGCTGGGCAGTAACTCGGCATCGTGAGTCCACTTCAACCTTGCACAAACACAACTAGTGAATGCCTAATGACAAAAATCTCTGATCAGAAGAAGAGAACAATGCAATGGCAAGAAATCCTTACGAACTGGCAGAACTGATACTTTGCTAGGCAGCAGGTCGCAGCAGCAACAAGGCACTACTGCGAAATTCACAAGCTGAGCTGACTGAGCGACGCAGGCGGCCCAGCGCAAAGTTGCCCGTCGGGCGGCGGCTCGACCTTGACAGTGACGTCACCTCCCCACGTGTCTATCTCTCCTGTGCTTCGACCCTGCGCGTGTGCGTGCCCGGGGAGGGGGGGGGGGCCTTTTTTTTGGTCAAAGCTTGCTAGTGTTGTTGTTTAAACGAACCTCGTGAAAAATAACTTTGTAGACATGTTGTAAGAGGTCGCAAAAATCGAATTCACAATAAATTCGGGAATTCAAAACCTTTTCAGTGTCCCTTTAAGGGTCCCTCTAGGGGCGTAGCCAGGGATGGCACATCGAACACGTGCCCCCCCCCCCCCCCCCCTGAAATTTTTTCCGCCATAGCAAAGGGAGCGAAAAATAGAAGAAGGATATTTTAAGGCGGTGCCCCTCCCGTAATCAAGGTGGTGCCCCCCCGAACAAAATTTCTGGCTACGCGCCTGGGTCCCTCCAATTTTTGCTACAGTGTCTGCTACCATGGGTGTCGACAGGGGCGCGAAGAAGCCAAGCTCACCAACACTTGTTCCCTATAGCCAACCTAAGCCACACGAGCGCTTCCCACCTTCCCCACCATGATGAAAGATAGGTTTGCACCACTCAAGACAAAATTGTGCCGATCGTCATGTCTGCTACCAAATGATATTCATTCACGATTCCCATTGTATTTGTTGAAAAGATATGCACAGTATACTACTGCCGAATAACGATTTATCATACCCAATATGTCCAGTCAACTGTGCACATATTCACGTAGTGTGTGCCAACAAAACGTTTGCTACTTAACACGCCTTGCTGTCGATTCCAAATCAGGCAACACCACCTTGGTTTATGACTCGGGCCTCTGTCGGGCTTGGTTTATGGGCAGGGCGTGCCGGGCCCGTGAAATTTTCTCTAAGGTTCAGCCTAGGCATGGCCCAGGTTTCAGTTTCACTTTTGAGTGACCGTACCTGGTTTGGGCAATAAACTTCAATGAATGCCGGGCCTGGGCTGCGAATCGCGACCCGTGCAGTGCTCTATTTGGTGCCGGACATAGGACATGCTTTTCCCCAAGCTCTGTAACTTGCATGCAGTTACAGAGTGCATTAGTGTGCTACCAAAGCAGTATTTATAGGAGACGCAGCAACGTTTCCTCCGACTTCTTGTTCATTTACTATTTGTGTTGTTCAATCTTGTGCTGCCCTTGTTTCTCGCAATAATGCAAACAACTCAACGAGCTCACTGCTCTGCATTGTAACTGTTATTTTGTCTTGCACAAATTCTGTATACTACCTGTAGCCAGGAATTTTTCAAGGGACTGGGAAGGCGGAAGGAGTTCAATCTTTATTTTTTAATATATTTGTGAGTGCATTAGTAAGTGTGTAATATTCCCCACACAAAATACTAACTTGGGGAGGTCCAAACACCCTAGATTACCTCATTTGCATTTGGCATAAGCACTCAGTTCTATAAGAGAAAAGACTGCAAAAACTACCATATTTACTCGCGTAATAAACCCACCTTTTTTTTCTTCAAAAAAGTTGATGCCAATTTGGGGGAGGGTTCATTACGCGGGAGAAAAAGTTGATGGGAGTTATAACAGCGAAATTGCATGATAGTTGCAGCCTGCGAAATGCGTCACAATTTTTTTTTGTAGCCCAAAGATCTTCCGGTTTTCTCTGAACGAACCTGATTGACGCTTAGGTGTTGTCCAGCCGCTCGGTCCCCATGCTCCAGTGCATGCTGCTGTGTAGCCAGCGTACCAGCCGAACACGACTTGCGCAGCAGGTGTTGAACTAAATTCACTACGACGAACGCAACAACAAAAACGTAGCGTCAGATGGCGGAGCACAAATGTTGCAGGTGCACAGCATATCGTCAGCGTGGCGAGCACAATTGCTCTTTGCATAGCCTCCGAGATAGCGGGCGCGCAGCCCAAAAACACATTGCGCATTTGTCATCTCGGCGGCCATGCGCTTTGTTTCTTGCTTTGTTTTCGTGCTGCTGTGCTTGCGTGGCTCTACAAGCAAAAATTGTTCTTGCATTCGACCGATGGCGCTCTACCGTGAAAGGTGAGACTTAAATTTTGATTGACGATCGCGCACTCGCACTCGCGCTGCTCGCGACTGTTTAGCATGGTTGCATAACTATGTTTTCACATTTATTGCGTCGTTATTTTGTGACATAACGGCTCGATTTTGTGACTCAACGGCTTGATCTCTTGTCAGCGGCACTGGCTATCACACCAAAATAAAATGAGCAGATACATTAACATCTTTTTTTCAAGGACCAAGATGGTGTGTGGGTTTATTATGTGAGTGGGTTCGTTAGGCAAGTAAATACGGTATATTGAGTCCTGCACTACAGTATTAAAATAATGCTGAAATGTATTTGTAACATGCATCAGTTCGAAATTTAGCATGACAGTGTTCATATGCCATCATTATGTACTTTAAAAATGCAACAAAAAAACTATGACTCCTCAAAAACCGTGTGTCAGGAGAATCTGTCAGTCACTGTACTAAATTTGGCCATGATATCTATTCCTACTCACAGCTAGACTTCCAAACTTTCCTGAGTGCAACAAGAAGATTGATTTGTGTTAAAAAGCATTGGTCATGCTTCACACCATTCTGCAATGCACAATAAGAACACGTTAAACACACCAGACAGCTGTGCCCTACGACCCTTTAGGGTGCTACCGACAGCTGGAAAACACTAAATTGATCATATGCAATTTTTGTCCTATGTGAGGGTAGATGAAAACTTTCAGGTAAAAGTGTCGCAATGACATACATGAATGTACAGTAGCGACAGTAGAACTGCCCTAAACAGGTGTAAAAATGAGTATCCGAGGCACTCGAGAGATGAGCTACTGGTGCAGCTGAGCTTTCCCACACAGTCCTCCAGTGGATGCATATATTTTCAGCCCTAGCATGGCTGAACTCAAGGTGATCACGCTGTGCCTTTGTTCCGGTTGTGCAGCCTGGGCAAGCCTGGCTCTTGTCCTGTTCATCACTTGTGTATCACCTCGTTCTTGAATCCACATGCAACCCAGTTCCCCCATGAGAATGAGTGTGGCAGTAGAGACATGCTTTGGGAGCAGGTACTTGGATGTGGCATAACAATGCCAGTGGTGGACTACCCACACACACACATGACCATGTGCTGCCATGGCTGAAAACTGTGGTGAATGTAGTGTGGCTGATTTCAACTCGCACACGAAATGTTGTGGGTTTAAGCAGTGCCAACAGATCATGCTCAAGATGAGTTTCCTTCACCACAGTCCACGAGACTCGTTGAGTTCTCTGCCATGCTGTGAGATGGAGCACTGCCAACAGAGTCCGTAGTGGCATCGGATGAGAGTGGCGGTAGCAGGCCATCCACACCTGCAGCTGTCTTGAGTCTCTTGACGGTGTTCTTGAATGCTTGACGCTTGTTGCAGAACCAGACACGAACCACTTCACGATCATAGTTGAGCTGCTCAGCCAGCTCTGTCATCTCGGCTCCTGCACCAAAGATGTACGGGGAAAAAAAAAGGTTGTCACACGTCTGTTCCTTCACACACTAGCAGTGTTACACTGTTAAAGATTCAGCAACTGAAACAACCAATGGTGCATACTAGGTGGTGGTCATAGCGACACGTGTGAACATAATCATGGGGGTTTTGAGGCTCAGGGTTCCCAACTCCAAACCCAATGATAATGCCCAATGGAAGGCGGTAGGTCAGCGGTAGGTCAGCGGTGGTTCAGCCAGGTTAGGATTTTGGGGAAATATTTGTAGGAGGAAGAAGTGTGTTCTTAAGCTGGTTTGGAGTCGACAAAACGAAATTTAGGATCACTTTGAGCCAAACATGTATAATGTTTCAGAGAATAGTCTTATTATTGTTCACACAGCATTTGTAAAGACACAAGGCTAACATCTAGAAAGCAGGCAGCAAGCAAGTTGTTGGCATGAAAGAGTGTTGCATTCTGGTTTCACTGCAAAGCACAAGATGGAGGTTGAAGTGAAGCATTAATGACAAGCCAGGCATATGATGATATATGGTGTTTTTTGGCGCAAGGGCCATTTGATGGCCAAAGAGCGCCAGTTCATGCGACAAGGAATGTGGACAATGATTGTGATTAGCGGCTGTATAAGGGCCATAAAATTCCTCGCGGTAAGGCGGGTAAAAACATACAAGTAATAAAATCATGACCATGCCGTGAAAGGTGTGTGTGGTGTGAATAGATAACAAAAGTTGGTGATACTAAAAAACGATGGTGTATATGTATGGCATTAACACAAGTGCCTCACTGGTTCATACCCTTGCGTGCAAGGGCCGTGAGGCAAGTGCTTTCCTGTGTAGCCACCGCAGCAAAAACCTCCCTGGAGAGGTCGAGCTACGGGATGCCCGGGTATATGATATGAAAATTACGAATTTCTTTTAAAAACGCTAACAATGATTTATGACTAAAAAGCGGTTCCCTACCAACGAACATTGCAGGGTGTAAAGGTATATGTTGTCGGTAGGGTAATGGAAAATGCTGTTTTCTTATAGTTTCTAAGTGTTTACACTGGATTAACACGTGAAGGACGGTCAATGGTTCACCGCATCTGTCACACAATGGTGGGTCGCCACCAGACAAAAGATATGTGTGTGTCGTGTATATGTGTCCTATCCTGAGTCTCGTTAGTATAACCTCTGTATGACGCGATTTTGATACTGGCAGCCAATGACTAAGGTGTGGCTTGATAACGTGTAGTTTGTTTTCTGTGTGTGTATCCCACTTGCTCTGCCAGTAGTCCCTGAGTTTTCGTTTGAGAGACGGCTTAAGATCAAGGGCCGGGATTAATGTGGGTGTAATGGCGGTGCTTTCGTGGGCGGATGCAGCAAGCTGATCCGCCATCACGTTGCCTTGAATCTCACGGTGCCCTGGTACCCAGCACACTACAACACGTTGGTTGAGTGTGTAGAGTGTGCATAAAATAGAGTAAAGTGAGACGAGGACAGGGTTTTTTTGTTTTTTAAGACTGCGCAGAGCCGTTACAACACTGAGAGAGTCTGTATAAATTACTGCTTTTTGTATTTGTAGTTGTTTGATGTGTTTAGCTGCCACAAGTATCGCGTAAGCTTCTGCTGTGAAGATACTTGTGCTTGGATGTAGAGGGCCAGCATCCGAAAAGGATGGGCCGACAGCAGCGTAGGACACAGAGGAGTTGGACTTAGAGGCATCTGTAAAAAACTCAGGACGTGTGTATTTGTGTTGAAGTTCCAGGAAGTATGTTCGGATATGGGCAATAGGCGCACGTTTTGTAACTTCTAGGAACGACACATCACAGTCTATAATCTGCCACTGCCACGGTGGCGGGTATGCTACAGGAGGCATTAAACTGTGTTCAAGTGACACTCCAGTTTCTTCAGCTAGACCCTTCAGGCGTACTGAGAAGGGCTGCCTCATTGAAGGCCTGTTTTGGAACAGAATGGAGCTCGAAAGATCATTAATAGTAGAGTATGAGGGGTGCTTCTTGTCTGCTTTCACCTTCAGGAAGTATACAAAGGACATGTAAGTTCTCTGCAGATGAAGCGACCACTCATTTGACTCAACATAAAGGCTTTCTACGGGGCTGGTGCGAAAAGCACCCGTAGAAATGCGGATGCCCAAATGGTGCACGGGGTACAGCAAAGCACTTTGAGTCGCAGACTGATAAACAACGGCCCCATAATTTAAGCGGGTGCGAATGAGGCTTCTATACAGGTTGATGAGACATTGCCTGTCACTACCCCACGTAGTACGTGACAACACTTTTATAACATTCATGGCTTTTAAGCATTTTGTTTTTACATACTTGATGTGCGGTACGAAGGTCAACTTGTTGTCCAAGATTAAGCCTAGGAATTTATGCTCCGCATTGACAGACAGACGTTGACCGTTCAGTTCAAGGTCAGGTTCCGAATGCATGCCTCTCTTTCGAGAGAACAAGACACAGGTGCTTTTTTGTGGGTTAAGTCGAAATCCGTTTTCATCAGCCCATTTGGAGACCTTGTTCAAACCCAGCTGAACCTGCCGCTCACACATTGCCAAGTTGCATGACTTGAAGCCAAGCTGAACGTCGTCGACATATGTACAATAAAACATATTGCGGGGGATGGACAAGTGCAAGGAATTCATTTTGATAATAAAAAGTGTGCAACTAAGTACACCACCTTGTGGCACGCCTGTTTCCTGGACAAATGTTCGGGAGAGAACACTGCCCACACGGACACGGGATGTTCGGTTTGACAGGTAACTTTCAATTATGTGAAACATTCTTCCGCGCACACCAAGGTGGGACAGGTCTCTTAGAATTCCAAAACGCCATGTTGTATCATAAGCCTTTTCGATATCGAGGAACACAGAGAGAAAATATTGTTTATGGACGAAGGCGTCTCTGATCTGTGCCTCAATACGAACAAGGTGGTCTGTGGTGGATCTACTTTCTCGAAACCCGCACTGAAATGGGTCGAAGCAAATTGTTTGTTTCTAAGTAGTGGAGTAAGCGGCAATTAATCATTTTTTCAAATAGCTTACAGAGGCAGCTTGTTAACGCTATAGGTCTGTAACTTGATACAGTAGAGGGATCCTTTCCCTGCTTCAAAATTGGAATTATAACAGCCTCCTTCCAGGAGGAGGGGATCACACCTGAAAACCATATGCGATTATCAAGAGAGAGGAGGGTTTCTTTAGTTTCGGAGGGTAGTTCCTTCAGCATCACGTACATTACGTTGTCAGAACCTGGTGTAGATGTATTACAGCGGTTGAGTGCTGTTCGCAGTTCTGCTGAGCAGAATGGTGCATTATATGCCTCATTTCTTGGGGATTTTCTTTCTAACTTTTGTTTTTCTATTCGTGCCTTGTAATTCTGGAAGGATTCGGAGTAGTGTGATTAGCTCGATATGTGTTCGAAATGTGTGCCAAGAAAGTTGGCTTGATACTCCAAGCTTTCCCCGAGGCTATTTACTAGTGGAAGAAGAGAATACGTTTGTTGGCCCTTAATTTTCTTTACCTTATTCCACACTTTTCCCTCATCTGTGTACGAGTTGATACTCGATATAAACTTTGTCCAGCTCTCTCGTCTAGCTTGTCGACGCGTTCTCCGTGCCTGCGATTTGACCTTCTTGAAATTTTCCAGGTTTTCTGCTGTAGGGGAATCGCGAAGCAACGCCCATGCTTTGTTCTGAGTGGTCCGTGCTTTCCTGCATGCGTCGTTCCACCATGGGACTCGCCGTTTAGAAGACATGCCACTCGTTTTGGCAATACATTTAGATGCGGCATCAAGTATAAAAGCTGTAAAATACGTGACAGCGTCATCTATGGTCAGGGCAGACAGCTCAGTCCATGTCATGTGTGTAAGAGTTCTATACCCTTCCCAATCAGCTGACTCAATCTTCCATCGAGGAACCTGCGGGGGTAGTTGATCTTTGTTCGGCGCACTCAGGATGATTGGGAAGTGATCACTCCCATAAGGGTTTTTAAGAACGTTCCATTTAAAAACAGGTAAAAGGGACGGTGATGAAATGCTAAGATCTATGGAGGAGTATGTGTTGCTTGCAAGGCTAAAATACGTAGGCTCCTTCATATTTAAAAGACATAAACTAGAAGAGAAAAGGAGCTGCTCAATGAGACGTCCTCGCGCATTACAGTGAGCATCGCCCCACAGGACATTGTGTGCATTAAAATCACCTAGAACCAGAAATGGCTCTGGGAGTTCATCTATTAGTGATTCCAGATCACGTCTGTGTAGCTGTTGATGTGGTGGTATGTACACAGAACATATGGTAATAAGTTTGTTAAAAAGTACAGCTCGAATGGCCACTGCCTCCAGGGCCTTTTGGAGCTTCAAATGCTGGCATGCTATACTACGATCGACTATAATGGCTACACCGCCAGATGGTACAACAGGATCCTCCTGGTCTTTTCGGAAAATAATATATTGTCGTAGGAAGTCCTTGTGCTTAGGAGTTAAGTGCGTTTCTTGCACACATAGCACTTTCGCGTTACACTTACACAGAAGTTCTTGGACGTCATCTAAATTTCTAAGTATTCCCCTACGTTCCACTGTATGATTTTGTCCATAGTGGAAAAAAAAAGGGAAAAAGTGCTGTGTGCAAAGAAGACGGGGATTAACTCATTTTACAGGGCCTTTGTCAGACCCTGTAATCGGCGTTCTGCCCTTTTTGGGGCGGTCAAGAGAAGCTCGCCGCTCCTTCGGCGCTTCCTGCGCCGTTTGGCTTGAACTGGTGTCCATAACCTCTTGCGAGGCACTGGACACCCGCTCTAAAGAGCGATCTGTGCGTCGCTTAGACTTCGCCTCGATCGACGAAGTCTTTGTCCCCACCGAGCTGGGGGTCCATAAGGCCCCCTTGGCCTCGTGATTGCCCTGGCTGCTGCCAGAGCTTGTAGAGGTCACTGGTGTGGACAGGCTGAAAGTGGGCAGGGCAGCGCTGGCTGCTCCCGCCGCAGGGGCGTGTGGCATTGGCCTCGGCACG